TGTGAGTGATCAGATGCTTTCGAAATTATGTTTTTGTCCATATCGACGGAAAAGTTTATATATTGTGGGGCCTTAACTTCACTGTAAATTAATCCTTAATTATGTTGGTGTTTTCTGTTCCTTTTAGATCGTTCTGTATTTGTGTATTTACTGCTGTTCTTACTCTGTTCTTGAAATCTTCCTTTCTTCCTTTTCTGGTGGACGCAGTGGGAGATGCAGCCTCCCGATGACAGTGTCCTGGCCGGACACCCGAACGGAGACCGCATTGCCACCTTCATGTTTTATGTGAGTGACTTCATTTTGTTAAATCTATTTGATTTAATAACTAATATAGTATTTAATTTAAATGTGAAAAACATATCCCTCAAACCTGATACATAGTGGTGCTGATTACTACATCATTACTGCAAGTTGTGATAAAATAAATTAATTTGGTGCAATAATGTATTTTTAAAATATTTGGATATTGACTTAAGGATATAATTATCTATTATACAGATATTTTTTGGGGGAGGAGGGAACTACCGTTTGGATAACTTAGGGTAGTCTTTCAAGATTCAAGAAAGCTGTCATATTTCAAAATGGCGGCTATGACTGGTATGAAAATTGTCTGACAAGGTTGATTTCGGTTCCAAATCATACATTTCTATGACAAAAAAAAATAAAGTTAGAACATTAGAACTTTTAATACACTTTCAAGATTTTTTTCAAGATAATTCCATGCCTAGCGTGATAATTACATTTAAACAAATCAACACAAAATAGTCTAGTCAATTCACGAATCCTCAAAATGTTGAGTAGTTATGTATGAAAAAGGAAAAAAAACATTGAATGTATGTCAAAGCACATCCACGGGGACACTGGTGGTACTGCTGTTGTGAGACTTACCATGGGACTGAGTGTCAACTAAACATACTGCATTTTAATTACCTGCTTTCTGTCAGTATCAATCTACTGGTTTCGGTAACAGCAGTTTAGTTTTTAGTTTTTTTCTTTTTTTAATACCATCAAATGTTATCTCCACATGTAGTTAATATTATGCACATTTAAAAGGATTGACAGAATATGCCTTCACGGGAGAATGCCGTCAAGAGTAACACAGGCTTTCATTTGAAATTTATTTGGATCTGTACAGATCGCGCTGGAATAAAATGGTACTGAATGAACGATCGCACAAGATGTATCAGGTATCACATTCAGATCTAGTTGTATCCTGTACCTAAATGTGCTTTCCTGCGGAAGAAGTTTTGGTAAAAGGAAATCTTCATGTTTATGTCACCGCAGTAAACCTACTGTGGTGAATGGGGCGTTGATTCACCTGCCGACGCCATCTCAAATGGGAGATGCCAAACTTTACACTCTAGCGACTGCGATTTTGTTTTTCACATAAAAAGATGACTTGCATAATCCACTTGCATATATGTGTCAAATACATGACGGCGAGAGCGTTAAAGTCGGTACCATCCTCGCTGAAATGATATTGGCAGAATCAACAGGCCATTCAGACGGAGTTCATCTCCTTTTTGCACCCCGGAAGGCGAGGTGTGTAGATCCCTGTAGTTTCGAATTCGACCGTGGATTATACAGCCTATCTCAACTTGCTTCTTGTACTGGTCTTGTACACTGACTTCCAAGTTGAATTTGCTCCGCTCTACAAAATAGGTAGGAGTAGAAGTTGATGATAGAATTTATTCTAAACGATTGAAGAAGAGCCAGATGCAGGTCAGTCCAGCTGTGACATTGTCTCCTGCAAGTATAGAATGCGAAATGCACAGGGAAGTTGCCTTAGACTGCACAGGCTTCGGTTAGCGTGAAGAAAGTGCTGAATGGTATATCTTGAAAAGACTCGAACAGACTCGAATTCTGTATCAGAGAAAATGAACGATTCAACACCGTGATCCATATTCGACTGATCTATGGAACTGTGTTGCAGTTGCAATTATAATTACAGTTATGGACGCCATCTCGAATATAGAGAGATCATGATCTTTTAACTTGGCTGCACTATTCCAATGAAATACGAAATTTGATCTAGAAACAGTTGTCGCTGGCGGCCATTTTGAATAACGATTACCTACCTACCTGCTCATGATGGCTCAACTTAATAGTTTTCGGAATCCCTTTGAAAAGTATTTTTGTCACAGATGTTAAGGGAATTCTTGTTGCTACACCAAAAATATATATAAAAGTAAAATCAATCAATAATACATAAACAAATCGACTTAGCAATTCCGCTAGATGTAAAATGGCGACCGCTTTAACGATAAGAATACATCCTTTTCCAGATGAATGACGTGGAAGAAGGCGGCCGGACCGTGTTTCCAAGGGCGAGAGTGGGCGTGGAACCGAGAAAAGGAAGTGCTGTGTTTTGGTGGAACCTTCTGCCCAACGGAATGTCAGACTTTAGGACTCTGCATGGAGCGTGCCCAGTCATCAGAGGGACCAAGTGGGGTAGGTTGGCATGGGACTGTGCGAGGTTCAATTGGAATAACGTCCTCTTTTTATTTTCTTTCCTTTTTTTTTCTTTTTTTTTCCTTTTTCATCTTTCAGCAGAGGCCAGAAGTGGGGTAGATGGAGGAGCATAAAAGGAGGATTGATAGAAAGCTTTCTGTCACTCACTCACTCACTCACCCTCACACTCACACACTCCATGTATGTGCATGCGTGTGTGTGTTTTTGTCTGTTTATCTCAACTCTTTTTTTTTTTACTGAACTTTTAACATTATCGTTATCCTTTATTTTCTCCACTTTCAACAGTGTGCAACAAGTGGATCAAACACCATCCGCAGCTTCACCGACGGCCATGTCCTGTCATCTAAATGTGGATTCCTGTCTGGCATGGTCATAAAGTACATGAATGCTTACATGTATACTTTGTATTCTTGTTCTGCAAACGTATATGTGCACATGCTAGCAGTTTTATTATTATTGTTACTGTGATAAGTATTATTGATAATAGGGCCCTTTTTTCTTAGCATATGTGGAAACAACAGCTATTCAGAATAGCAAAAAAGGTTCCGCAAATTTGTTTAGGATGTTGGGTCATCTCTCAACTGCAGTACTTTACCCTAAAAAAATATATTTAAATTGTAGTGTGAACACCCATATTGACAATGAATAAACACATTAGCAGTTAATGACACAAAAGTTGCAAGTAAACATCAACATTGTGTATGAAACTATCCCTATGAAAACACCAAAAACAAAAACAAACAAATAATACTGGTATATTCATCAATTGTTTTAATACATCACAAAGCGGCTTCTTCAAAAAGCTATTACCTTTTATCTACTTGAAAAATTATAATTTGAAATTGTTATTTCCAAAAATGTTCTATGCACAAATGTCAAGACATTTGAAGTGAATTACAATACCTGGATTATATATTCCATGGTTCACCACTACAATATATACTAGGTTCCCTATTATGCCAAAGATAAGGTGAAAATACATATGCAAGTATAAATATAACTTTATTTCTTAATCTGCCTCAGTAATTAATATGATATACAGTCACAGTTCATTTCTTTTCAACAATTATCTATGTACACCACATAATGCAATGGTCAAAATAAATATTCTTGAAGCTTAAAATCCTTTGGCAGGTTTTATACAAACTGTAGCTTTTATAAGGTAGAAAAAAGCAACTCACAAGGTATTATGACACAATAACTTTGTATCTCAAGAGTAAATGTATCTTTGGCACATGATCTGCTAAATTATTAGATCGTTATAAAAAGGTATAAACCTCTTTGACTATGACTGACAAGATAATCTTACATCATAAAATAACAGTGCAATCCATTTTAAAACATTTTTTATGACAAACAAAAAGAACCATATAGTCAAACTTAACTTACTGAATAGTGAAAGGAAATAATCTCGGGCTTAAAATTACCGTGCTATGCAACGTTACAAACAGCATGCAGTCTCTATACAAACCATTTGTTAAACTAATCTCAAAGTTCTGCTGGTTGTTCTAGTGACTCTAGGTTCTGCCTCTTTCTTTACCCTGGTCCTGGAAGAGGTTGGCTTTGTTTTGGCTTCATCTTTGGGAACCCGAGACTTTAACCTCCTGGTTCTTTGTTGTACTGACTCTGTGTTATCATCAAGGCTGATTTCCATGTCATCGCTACCTTTCGAAGTATTCTCCATGGAGTTATCCTTGTCTGAGAAAGTAAGAGTTTTGGGTACTGTCGACTCTTTTGCCTTTCTAATGGTCCTCCTCTTCCCTGGTGCTCTTGATGATGGCGACACATGAGCATCCTCACCTTTGTTTTCTATGCCTATGGAAGATCTTGAGCTCTTGGGACAGGGGGAGGTGGAGAAAGAGTTTGGTACCTTCAAAACCAGTTTTGTTGGGCTATCATCCAAAGCCAGCTGACCTAACTTTGCCTCTACCGCAGCCATATCCTTTTTTCTTGTGGCAGTGCTTCCTTTCCTGGTGTTCTCTCTCTTGGTAACTACCTGTCTCTTGTACACTCTTGAGGGTTTATTACTCTGAGGTGGTGGGGTGGGGGCCCTAGACTGCTTTGTTGAAGTCTCCTGTGTATCTTCATCATCACTGTATATGCTGAAATATTTCCCTTCCTTTGTGAGAGTGCTGGGCAAGCCAAGAGTTTTCTGGCCTATTTTAGTAGCAGACTTAACTGCAGCTTTGGCCTGAGGTCTTGCTGGTGTTTTGTAATCATATATGTTTTTCTTCTCATCTCCATTTGGGGTTACAGAACTCTCATCAGCAACTTCATCTGTTGGGATAAATACAATGAATAACTGGCTCAAGTATTCAAATGAAATGTATAAGGTAAATAAAGTCAATGAATATGAATGAAGGGGACTGAAAAGAATAAATGAGTTCCCTTTGTTACAATGTTTCATATCTGGAAATTTATCCAATGCCATATGAAGATTACCCAAGCTTATGTCTAATTTTACAGTCAAATACATTTATAATCTGTATCTGCTACAAGAATTCCAGTTTGAACTATGATTAGATGTCTAGAAAAAATAAATAAATAGAAATAAAGAAAGAAAGATCTTACCACCACTTTCAACACTGTCTATTTGATGTTCCTGTGTTCTCTTCAAAATCTGGCCTTGTAGTATGATAACAGTGATAAAATGCATGTTTTGATGTAACACCTGTCAACAAAAGAGATATTCAGTCAAACAATGAAATTAATAATTAAACTAACCCTATTCTAAGCATTATGAAACAATTTGTTATATTCATACTACTCCCTGGCTTCACATTTAACATAATGATTAATGATTACATAGCACAAGAAATGTGCTAGAAATTAAATGTCCTATAGCACTATTGAAAGGTGTAATAATGAAAAGGGTAAAGAGAAGTCATGCAGTAGTTCAGGAAAGTGTGGGATTTTGGAAACTAGCAAGCAAGCAGTATACTGTATACATACATATTCAAAAAATCAAGCATTCAAAACCACTTACATGTGAATCTAGTGATCTAATAATTTTGAGAGCTTTCATATTGACAAGCAGAGCCTGGTCCCATTTCTTCTCCAGTGCAAGGCTCTCTGCCTGGTGGTGCATAGACTGAAGATACACCTGGCAAAATAAAATCTGATTAATAAAAAGGTAAATATTGATATTTCTTGGAAGTCAATAATATAAGAAGGTATGCATGTCCAAAGGTCTCCTCAGACCAAGTACCAAAAATGCATTTATTCAATGTTTGTTGAGATTGCAGTGCATTAATGTGAACATATTGATCTGAGAACATTTTTGGATGCACACATCCTCATATGAACTTCATATGCCTGACCTATAAAAGATAAAATGGGTAAAATCAAATATTCCAGTATTAATATTATGACATGCACAGCTTTAAGCTCCCTAATGACAATTTATAGGAAACCTTTATACATTATAATATAACCAATATGCTAGCACTTACTAGATTCAACCTTGACTGAAGAAAAGTGGCAAATGAGGTACTTTTCTTGCTTCTGGCACTTATAATTGACATCAGATAATTGGTGAGAAAAGCAGCCTTTTCAGTGATATCGTCATACATTTCCATGGCCTGTAACATAATTACACATTCAAGATATAGAGTTAACCATAAGCCATATATTTAGATTTTATATGAGGACAAAAAAACAAAAATTATATTATCAAAACTTTTTTCTGGAAAAAAATCTGCTGTTAAAGTTTTCAAAACATTAACACACATGTCCTCCAGAGAAAAGGCATGACAAATGTTTCTGTGCTTATAATATACTTCCTACTAATAATAATTGTACATAAATTACTTTTTTATCCTTTGTTTCATTATATGCAAACTTTAAAACTGATGGAATTACAAAATAAAGCATAATTTCAATGAGAATACACAGCATTAAAGTATGAGACTTCAATGAAACTGTGAAAACAGTAGGGAATAAATATTTGAATACATCTGTACCTATCTATCACTCAATGTCCATAATGTATTTTATAAATTAGGGTGTCATGAGAACTGTACATTATAAAAATACAGTGTCATATGGCATAAAAGGATGGATTTTGGATGACAGTGGACATACATACAGATGGATGTTAAAGGGGGGACAACACATCCACAGCTCCCCTTCCACTCAAACCCTTACTCTTACTCTTACTCTCACTCTCAAACATACTCTTTTACTTTCACACACACACTCACACACATTTTCTCTATGAGACTGAGATTTTGCTTACCCTCCTGAAGCATGTTTGTGCTGCTAGGTGATGTCCATTATGGGCGTGAACAAGAGCCAGGATTACTGCTGTGGAGATGTGAAGTTCCTGAAGAGCTGGCGTAGAGCACATGACACACTTCACTTGTCCGTCTGGGCAGGCCTCCACTCGTGCCAGAGTAACATCCTCCCGATACCCGAGTGAAGGGGACACCGGCTGCCGTGGGTGTGCCAGCTCACCTATGCGCTCCTCAGCTCCTACCACAACCAGGCCCGGGTTGCTGTGGAAGGCCTTCAAGTCGTACTCTGGAGCTGCGCTGCAATCTCGCATCTTCTCCTCACTGTCGATTTCAATCTCAGAAAGAACCTGACAAGACAGCTTGCCCTCGCATGCTTTGGTATTCATGGTGACGTGCTTGGCTACTTTGGCATCCTTTGGTAGGTATTCATGCGCATGGGTAGGGTGAGCAATGAGTAAGGCCAGCAAACTGTCAACCTTAACTCGACAGTCCTCTAGCTGGTCACACAGCAAGTCCACTCTAGCAAGCAGCTCCAGCAGCTCTCCCGTCCTATGCAATGGCAATCATTATTAAAATACGGACTTACATACTCTGGAAGATTAAATGAATTTCTGTAAGATGGAATCTTCTAAAACTTCTGAAAGTTCTGGCAAAATCAAAACTAATGGTCCAAGACATCACATTTCTCAGCTGTTGGGATACCTCAAATGTCTGCCATTGTGATTTCAATATGTATTCATGATAAAAAATATAATGTTTGATAAAATATCCAAATCACCCATTTTAGAGCAGTTTTCATGAATCTTGCAAACATAAATTATACTTCATAAAAGAAAAACATTTTTTTCTAAATTAAGAAAATAAATGTATCATCTGTACCTCAGTGGAAGAGCTAATTCTTGTGCGATCTTGAGAGGTTGCTTGAGGTATGCTCTTGCTTGGCGGGGCTGAGCTGACATCAGGCACTGGTTGCCGAACCATACTGTTGTTGTCAAATGTAGCCAGGCTACTCGATGTCGCCAGCAGATTATATCTGTGGTGTATTGTTAAATGATCATGGCTGTTCATATATATTCAAAATTTAAAAACAAAGAAAAACTTCTTTTTTTTTATCTCCTAATCCTTATATACAACTATGCAGAATATAAACCACAAAGGAGAAATAATGCATGCAACTAACCATTACTAGATGATGTTGCATATGACTCTACAAGTGCATTCGCCTCACGGCATGCCAAAAGAGCTAGTGATATGCTTGGCTGGGAAGGCTTCTTAGCCTCCTCCAGGACCCAGTGTGGTAGCCCTGCATACATGGAGCCCACAAAGTGTACTATAGTCTGAGCTTCAGTGGCCCTGACTGTCCGCTTATCCATCACATCGCTCTTAAGTGCTTCAGACATATATATGACTCCTTCACTATACTGGAAAAATAGATCAAAATGTAATTTTGCTACTTAGTATCAGTGAACTAATTTTGTTGTCCTTGCATTTAAATTTGTCTCATCTTTTTTCTTACTTTTCCTTTTTCATTCTAAAAGTAAAAACTTACGACAATTAATAACAATATAAAATTTGAACTAAACTCCACTCATAAAACCTTCCAAGTCATTGTAGAATCCATACCTGACCCAGCTTGAGATAGTAGTAGGCAAGTGCTGTGATAGCAATCAAGGTCACATATACTAAGGATGGATCTTGGTTACTGCTAGCCTGGCATGTAGTGATAGCCTCCTTGGCTTCTTTTACTAGTTCTTTTGGCACTAACTCAGGCACCACAAGTAACAACTCTGTTATACCTGCAAAGTAACAAATATTGTTATATGGGAGTGTGTACTAATCATGGGAAAAAAAACTGCCCCAAATTGTGAGAAAAGAAGTCCTAATTCATATCATGATTTTTTTTATTTCTTCACTGATGTAGTGGAGAACTTTTACATCTTTATTAACCCTTGTTTCATTTTGGCACATATTATGTATGGACTTCTTTGATATGTTCATTGAAAAATGCTCTAGTATAATTTAAAAAATAAATTAATTAATTTAAAAAAAAATAAAAAAATAAAAAAAAATTATGCTATCTCTGAAACTAATGATTACTCCCCATAACTTAGCTTCTTTTTTTAACAAGATACATCTGGAAAGAATTGGTCCAAACACAAAAAACAATACCCCTCAAGGTAGTACAAGGATACATGCAATCATGTTTACATAATGTATCATCACACCTACAGAACAATGATGATCAACTTAAGCATGTAAATTCTATTTTCTAAACATACTGAGGCAGTCATTTAAAATCATATATAGAGCTTAGAAGCTGCAAGAATTCAAACGTCCAGAAACCAAAGCTAGCCTTGAAAAATAATTAAACCAAACTCAAGGCAGAAGCCAGGTAAATATTTAAAAAGAAAAGCCTAAGCAATGTGAACTTTACAAATTCAATAATCAGCTTCATGTCACATTACCCCAGTTGTAAACCAGTAAGAAAGTCATGACTCCAAACATAATGCACCTTTGCAAATGAGTGAGTAATTAATACCTTGCACCTTATCTAAAGACTACAACTTTATTGAGGCACCATACATATTCCAACAAGCGAGGGAGTTCTTACCTAGGAACAAATAGGTACAATATGTACATTATCTCTACTGTACAAATGATGCTTTTTGAAAAGAAAAGCTTGAAAGTATGTTACTGTGAAATATCTGATACCTTAAGTACTGAACTGAAATGGATACAAAAGACATGACGTAAAAATATGGCTCCAAATCTGTCGGCCTTGTTAAGTTGGATTCTGGAGATGGTTTTCAAGGTTTAACCCATTGCCGCCGGGGAAAATGAACAAAAAATGGGGGAAATGCAGTACTCATTTTTTATTTTTGTGAAATATCTCTATCCATAGATGGCTCTTCTAGTCCTGATTTCATCTTTCCTTGAATTGGCGGGAAAAAACGTATTTTTACTAATGATTACTCCCCATAACTTAGCTTCTTTTTTACCCCTCAAGGTAGTTCAAGGATACATGCAATCATGTTTACATAATGTATCATCACACCTACAGAACAACGCTGATCAACTTAAGCATGTAAATTCTATTCTCTAAACATACTGAGACAGTCACTTTAAAATCAGATATAGAGCTTAGAAGCTGGAGGATTTCAAAAGTCCTGAAACTAAAGCTAGACTTGAAAAATAATGAAACCATACTCAAGGCAGAAGCCAGGTAAACATATAAAAAGACAAAAGCCAAAGCTATGTGAACTTTACAAAGTCAATAATCAGCTTCATGTCACATTACCCCAGTTGTAAACCAGTAAGAAAGTCATGACTCCAAACATAATGCACCTTTGAAAATGAGTGAGTAATTAATACCTTGCACCTTATCTCAAGAGTACAACTTTACTGAGGCACCATACAAATTCTAACAAGCGAGGGAGTTCTTACCTAAGAACAAATAGGTACAATATGTACATTATCTCTACTGTACAAATGATGCTTTTTGAAAAGAAAAGCTTGAAAGTATGTTACTGTGAAATATCTGATACCTTACTGAACTGAAATGGATACAAAAGACATGACGTACAAATATGGCTCCAAATCTGTCGGCCTTGTTAAGTTGGATCCTGGAGATGGTTTTCAAGGTTTAATATACCCAGGATGTTTTAGTTTATCCCAGAAAAATCATGGATTAACAATATACAAAAATAGGTAGCAATCTGACAGAAAGGCAGTGGAAGTTCTATTCATATCTGTACATCTAAATATTATACATACTGGAGTCTAACTACTCCTGTAAAGGTCATCAGTAATAGGCTATCAGAATGTTTGGTCAGTTGTGTGTATTGTCTTTTCTTCTTCTGATGTTCATGCCCATAGACTAGTGGAATCCTCCCTGATAAATCAGCTACGAAATTTAAACTTAAATAGTGGTTTTCTCCCGCTTACAGTCTCCTTACTTCCTACATCCTCAGATTATTCCTTTATGCTGGCCACTCATCACACAGACCACCAAACCCTTCAAAATGACATTCACTGAATATGCTATCTATAAACTGCAATTTATCTTAATGATAATGATCACAGGTATAGATCATATTTTCAGTGAATTGTATACAGTAAGTCCCAAACTTAAGAACATAATGGGGACCGAGGGGCTGTTTGTAAGTTGATTTGTTTGTACGTCGAAAGTCAGGTCTCCATTACCTTTTTTCCCATTGTTTTAAAGTTTTGTTTACATTAAGAATACCTGTAAATAAATCCCAATAAGTACGACATACCTAATACAGTACCAGACTCTTGAACTATATTCGTACCCGAGAAATTTGAAATTTGCTAGCATCTTTCAAACAATTTTTTTGACTTTAGTACTTAAAAATTTTTGTTTGTATATATGGAATGTTCATAAGTAGAATGTTCTTAAGTAGGGGACTATCTGTATTAACAATCAGCTTGCAAGTTATAACACTAATATGTATGATAAGCATCCCAAATAAGTCTGTAGGGGAAGATGTGTTACGAGTGTTACCAATGAGAGGTTTCTATGCCATACCTCTTAAAGAGTTTAGTTCACATTATAAATGTGAATGTACATGCTTAATTTTGCTTCATTTATTCAGCTATATTATAATTATCTGTTGTTTTTATAGAGTTGCATTGTATTAAATAAAATAAAATATTTCAGAAAATTAATGAAAATGGTAAGGGACTAGTTTCTATGCACTGGTGTCTAAGCACTTGTGTAGCCATCTATATGTAAATACAATTAATAAATCAAACTCACTATGGGCAGCATGGCATGTATGCACATGTTATCCTTGGGTTTAGTTATTCTTAATTCAATTTTAAGTTGTTTAGTTTTTATATGAATGCAGAATTTGTTTCCTTTTGATTAATTAATATTAATAAATTTACTGTCATATATTATTATATTAATTTGATGGGATACTGTCTGTATTATCTATGATATCATTATAAAAACTCAATACATCCCATTAAGCAGTTCAATTTATACAGAATTTCAATGCCAAATATATATGTAATGTCAGGATTAATCTTTCTATCGTTATTATTTTCTTTTAAGGTAAATTGCTTGTGTTATGTAAGACTTTATTCTGAGAGACTTCTTAAGCATTTACTTCCAAGTTCATTTGTTTTTACAATATTTGTTAAGTACTCTTTTCATTTTACACAAGTGGAAACAAAAGTAATTTTTGATAAACAAAAAGCAAATATAGTTCATACTGTTATTTGCAATGGAATTTGGAACTAGGAGGCAATGACGTGTATTTTAGTTCTCATTTTTATATCTCTTACTCTGCTAACAAAGTATGCCCTGGAAATGAATTTAGAATTAATGACAGTCTATCTACCATAATTTTTCTGCATATCAGTTCATGTTAAGTACTTTAAAACCTGAATGAAGAACTACAGATAAGTGTACAATAACTTACCCTCTGCAGTTAGGACTGCTTACTACTACAGTAATAATAATGTTTAACCCACAATGCTTCCCATCCAGTTTTAGATGACTGAAAATCATGGAAAATCCTAGGACCCCAGGACCCAGGGACCCCAGCATTGGGACTGATTTTCTCCCAAAATCTTAGGATAAGAAAATGACTCAAAAAACAATACACAATCACATTTTGATACCCTGTTTATGGCATTAAGCCACAGACATCAAATAGGGTACCACTAACAATTCTCATTTAAATGTAAAAAATGATAACCATACCTGTAATAAAAATTATATCAAGAAATAAAAATGATAGTAAAAAATATCACTCTATTACCTCTCAGGAGAAATGCTGGAGAGGAGTTCTTTCGTGCCACAGTAACAAGGGTTGTCCAGGCTCGAACGGTGGGTGTGATAAAGCCACTCAGCTGATACACATATCCCACAGAAGCAAGGCAAGAACACACAGTTGCCACATCCTCCAGTGCTACACCCTAAAAAAGTAATGAACATTCTTAAATCTTTTTAAGTACTTCTTTCCCCTTAATCAACAAGTAACAACAGCTATTTCTCGAAGATGCATTTTTCTAAACAACACACTCACATGAAAAAGAAAATATGCATGAAAGTCTGGAGAATCATAATCTTGAAATACCAAATACCTTACATGAAAATGCATTTCTCTAAACGACACACACACATGAAAAAGAAAATATGCATGAAAATCTGGAAAATCAATATCTTGAAATTCCAAATACCTTACATGAAAATGCATTTCTCTAAACGACACACACACATGAAAAAGAAAATATGCATGAAAGTCTGGAGAATCATAATCTTGAAATACCAAATACCTTACATGAAAATGCATTTCTCTAAACGACACACACACATGAAAAAGAAAATATGCATGAAAGTCTGGAGAATCATAATCTTGAAATACCAAATACCTTACATGAAAATGCATTTCTCTAAACGACACACACACATGAAAAAGAAAATATGCATGAAAGTCTGGAGAATCATAATCTTGAAATACCAAATACCTTACATGAAAATGCATTTCTCTAAACGACACACACACATGAAAAAGAAAATATGCATGAAAGTCTGGAGAATCATAATCTTGAAATACCAAATACCTTACATGAAAATGCATTTCTCTAAACGACACACACACATGAAAAAGAAAATATGCATGAAAGTCTGGAGAATCATAATCTTGAAATACCAAATACCTTACATGAAAATGCATTTCTCTAAACGACACACACACATGAAAAAGAAAATATGCATGAAAGTCTGGAGAATCATAATCTTGAAATACCAAATACCTTACATGAAAATGCATTTCTCTAAACGACACACACACATGAAAAAGAAAATATGCATGAAAGTCTGGAGAATCATAATCTTGAAATACCAAATACCTTACATGAAAATGCATTTCTCTAAACGACACACACACATGAAAAAGAAAATATGCATGAAAGTCTGGAGAATCATAATCTTGAAATACCAAATACCTTACATGAAAATGCATTTCTCTAAACGACACACACACATGAAAAAGAAAATATGCATGAAAGTCTGGAGAATCATAATCTTGAAATACCAAATACCTTACATGAAAATGCATTTCTCTAAACGACACACACACATGAAAAAGAAAATATGCATGAAAGTCTGGAGAATCATAATCTTGAAATACCAAATACCTTACATGAAAATGCATTTCTCTAAACGACACACACACATGAAAAAGAAAATATGCATGAAAGTCTGGAGAATCATAATCTTGAAATACCAAATACCTTACATGAAAATGCATTTCTCTAAACGACACACACACATGAAAAAGAAAATATGCATGAAAGTCTGGAGAATCATAATCTTGAAATACCAAATACCTTACATGAAAATGCATTTCTCTAAACGACACACACACATGAAAAAGAAAATATGCATGAAAGTCTGGAGAATCATAATCTTGAAATACCAAATACCTTACATGAAAATGCATTTCTCTAAACGACACACACACATGAAAAAGAAAATATGCATGAAAGTCTGGAGAATCATAATCTTGAAATACCAAATACCTTACATGAAAATGCATTTCTCTAAACGACACACACACATGAAAAAGAAAATATGCATGAAAGTCTGGAGAATCATAATCTTGAAATACCAAATACCTTACATGAAAATGCATTTCTCTAAACGACACACACACATGAAAAAGAAAATATGCATGAAAGTCTGGAGAATCATAATCTTGAAATACCAAATACCTTACATGAAAATGCATTTCTCTAAACGACACACACACATGAAAAAGAAAATATGCATGAAAGTCTGGAGAATCATAATCTTGAAATACCAAATACCTTACATGAAAATGCATTTCTCTAAACGACACACACACATGAAAAAGAAAATATGCATGAAAGTCTGGAGAATCATAATCTTGAAATACCAAATACCTTACATGAAAATGCATTTCTCTAAACGACACACACACATGAAAAAGAAAATATGCATGAAAGTCTGGAGAATCATAATCTTGAAATACCAAATACCTTACATGAAAATGCATTTCTCTAAACGACACACACACATGAAAAAGAAAATATGCATGAAAGTCTGGAGAATCATAATCTTGAAATACCAAATACCTTACATGAAAATGCATTTCTCTAAACGACACACACACATGAAAAAGAAAATATGCATGAAAGTCTGGAGAATCATAATCTTGAAATACCAAATACCTTACATGAAAATGCATTTCTCTAAACGACACACACACATGAAAAAGAAAATATGCATGAAAGTCTGGAGAATCATAATCTTGAAATACCAAATACCTTACATGAAAATGCATTTCTCTAAACGACACACACACATGAAAAAGAAAATATGCATGAAAGTCTGGAGAATCATAATCTTGAAATACCAAATACCTTACATGAAAATGCATTTCTCTAAACGACACACACACATGAAAAAGAAAATATGCATGAAAGTCTGGAGAATCATAATCTTGAAATATCAAACACCATTTGTTATCACCAGTGAGCTAATCTGGTAATCACAGGAAATTTAAGCAATTGCTGATAATTCTCTTCACTTTAATCAGGTGACCAACCATCAGCTGAAAATTACTCTTTCAATGTAAGATTTTGGGGGGGTAATTTAGGGGCAACCCATACGGTAAAGTGTCAACTCACAGCTGCAGTTTCTTGGATCCGCTGAAGGTTGCAAAGGTAGAGCCAGAAGTTTGCTAGGGCTTCCAGCTCTGCCAGTCTGCTGCTGTACCTGTTGTTATTCTACGAAGAAAAAAAAAATAGCATTTAATTTTTTTTTTTTCCTTCTTTTTTTGTGCTGTATCAGAGCCTGATGTTGGCGACCATGTTTAATTTCATTATCAAAGCACATATCTCAGTGAACCTCATTCATCATTTTCATAAGGCAGATGAGACGTGGGTATAAAAAAAAGATAACAATAATAAATAATAATTAGCAATCCATTTATGTCAAAATATCTCGGTTCCTAAAACAAGCATCTACATATTTAAATCTTATAAACAAGTTCCCCTCATAGCAAGTCAAAACTTTCAATCTGGAAACTGACCTTAGTCTCCTGAACAAGGGCAATGGCTTTCTTGACCAAGTCTACAGCCTCACTATTGGATCCTGCAAGCTCAGGTTGAACCCAGAGCACTTCCACCATCACCAGGAGCCCATAGACCTTAGCCTCAAAAGTGTCTTCCGTTCCCCTGCACTCATCCACCAAGACTCTTCCACAGGAGAGCTGGTCGTCTGCTGTGTTCTGGCTGGGGAAGGCAGGAAAAGTCGGATAATAAATAGTGCAACCTCTCAGTAAGAAAAGGAGAAACAGAAAATATCTTTGAAAAGATGCTTTTTTCATTTCTGTTCTAGAAATTGTTTTCTTTGCTTTTGTGTTTGATTTCTAATGTCTATAAGAGTAAACAGAAACATAATAAAAAATAAAACACACAAAAAAAAACACTAAAGAAGTTCACCAATTAACCCAAATCTGACAGGCATGGCATGTGTGTGTATATGCTATGCCCACTGAGAGTTTACTCTAACTGTTTTTACACATAGATGGCTACACTTGTACTAAGTCGCCAGTGAGTCAATTCCTTCCCTTGATTTTCGAAAATATTTTACGTTATCTTATACGTTTGTGGCTCAGCACTCCCAGAGCCATCTATGTGCAAAGACATTTCACAAAAAAATGTTAAAACGAGCACATAATTTTTCCGGCAGCACTGAATTAAAATCTAACAAAATTTGAAACCTTTTTTTTTTTCATAAAATAAAAGTACACCAAATTTACCTTTGTTTTTTGTAACTCTCAATTTCATATTTAAGGGCTTCAATTTTGTTAAAGTTGGCTCCTTCTGTTTCTTGGAACTTTCTTCTTGCTTCACCCACTACATCACATATTGTTAATCCCTGTTACAAACATTAAAACAGGAAGTCATTATAGAGTTCAATCATTCTTTGACGAGTAATTCGAATTTCAAAAAAATAATAATAATTGATTAATTAAAAGATATTTCAAAACTACAATTTCCACAAGGGGGGGAAAATATCTGAAATCCAAACCTTCAACTTTTTATTGCCCGTTCTCTCTGCATCCCTTTTACACTTGACCCACATGTTAACAAGGTCTGTTGTGGTCAAGTGTTTTCTGAGCAGGCCCCTTCCTGCAGCCACAGCAGCATCCCAGTGACAGCCACTATACCTCAGTGCATCACTCCACAACACCAGCTTCTTATGGAGCGAGGTAGCAACTGTCTTCTGTTAGAAAAAATAAGTAAAGACGGGTTATATATGGTAAGTGGAACTTGAATATAGTATGCTATACCAAGAGTATATTATCTTTTGACAGAGACATTGTATTTCTGAAGTCACCTTGGTATCCTCTGCAGAAATCAAATTTATTTATCATTGTACTTTAATTTTGTAAGAAACTTACTTTTTGATCATCTGATGCCATACTGTAATACATATCAAGCATGTCAACAGAGGTTTCCAGAAACTTTTCTGCTATATTGTATATGGTTCCCTTAAATGCCAAAACTCCCAAATTTCCAGCATTGACACCTGAAAATTAAAACTTGATCAGTCACAAGTGATGAAGTTTATAACATGTTTGATTATTTTCATCCATTGGAATGCACAAGTAGATAGGTCTAAGCTCCAAACTTAAAACATTTCAAGCAACACTAACCAACATTATAAATCTGCCAAATAGCATCTGGCTTCTTGGCACAGTTGGCAGAGATGAAGGAATTGGCCCTGTTGACCCAGGGTAGAGCTTGCTTCAGGACAGCTTTCTGGTCACTGGAATTCTTCTGGAGATCAACGTAAAAACCCAACTGCTGACACAGGACTGTAGCTACCTGAGGGCAAGAATGGTTTGGCATTACAATTAATGGCTCTAAATTGCAGGTAACACAATTTTTCTCATCTCTGTTTTTTAAATTGATGTCTAATTGCAATACGATTAAGTGGACAAAGATTCACATAAATTCACATTCAACTGCGTGTCTAATTAATCTAAATACATCGCAGTAATATCATTTTTTAGGCTTCCATTTTGTATATCAAAGTGTATGGTTTTATAACTATTCTCACTGTATGATTTCCTTACCTTCTTCACATTTTCATCAGTCAGTGGTGCATTACACCTACTAAGAAGAGTTTCCACAAGTCTGTCTAATAGCTGCGTACTGATCATATACTGTTAATAGGAGATAAAATGATTAGGACTGACTTACATCATTAAAAGCAAATAATTGAGTATATGATTAACAACAAATATTTAATATTTCTTTTATCTAATATTCACTATCATTTCAGTAATTGGACAAAAAATACATCTTTGTAAACAATAGTACATCCCAATTCAGTAAATTTATGAAGAGAAAATTACAAATGAAAAAGGCAGACCTTGCATTATACATCAGATCTAATATTGGTCAGTACAATCTTTTATAAGATATAAATTAAGTGCCACTATCAATTGTGACAAATTCTAAAAAATAACTACTGAAAATATTACCCAAAGCTCAGATTTTGCCAAAATTAATGCAAAACGTTAATTAAACCCAGAATAGAAGAAAAAAAAAACATACAACAAGAAGGCAATCTCAGTATACTTACCGTGACATCTCTACCCCGCTGCTGTTCAAACATGGCAGTAGTGCAGAGCAGACTGAGGAGCAAGATCATGTTTGGCACCATGGAAGACGATACAACACTGCACGACTGGAGGAACTTCAACATCATGTCCTCGCTGCGCTTTCCCAGTTTTATAGCCATTGCCAATTCCATCAGCTTCAAGCCTACTTTGAGTGCCATGACAGTCTGCTGGTCACAGCTATGCTCAAGAACTGCTACAAGAGGACCTGCCATACCACTGAATTCTGCACATTTATTCAGCCTGAGGAGAGTTTTGGCATACTCTACCACAACACTGAACACGGACAGCACCATATCTCCGTTCACTTTAGCGCCCCTCTTCATGTTATCCATGAGACCAGAAATAACAGTTGGGAAGAACTTCTCGAGGTGGTCAGATGATTTTTGAACATGCTCAAAATTAGCTACGGCCTTCAGAGCTTGTTCACACACTTTATTAATGCTTGTTCCTGCAGCCAAGAGGAACTGTAATGCATATCCCTGGAGCATCAAGGCTTCAGCAGGTATATTGTGGCTGAGACTTGCATTCCAAACACTCTGATACAAATTCTTGACAATGGCCTGTCCATCACCCTTGGTTGTGTCACACTGTGGCACATATGGGATGATACTTGACACTAACTGTATCAAATGCTGATGTAACTCCTGGAAGAGAAGAAGTAAAATATATCTCTCTGCTACATATATGTTCAGAACTGCTACATACAGTAAAGAAATGTTAATCAATTGGTTTACTTATTTAAATATATATATATATATATATATATATATATATATATATATATATATATATATATATATATATATATATATATATATAAAGTAAAATAACATGTATAACATTGGTACTGCAAATTAAATTCATATGACCTATCAATACATACTTTTCTCTTTGAAGTAATAAGTATAATATAAAACATAGACTTGAGGTGGAATGTTGCATCAACTGTTGCAGGTCCTTGCTGGTGTTTGCAACAAATATTCACAATATCCACAATGCCTGAGAAAACTTGAACATCAATTCCCTGTTGCTCATAAACAAGTCTGGAACAGTGTCGGAGGATCTGCTGACTCTCCGCACTCCCACTGCATGTAGATAATAATGCCTGAAACAAGAGATATCAACATGACATCACAGGCCTGCATAAATGAAAGAATAAAAAGTTCATCAGAGCAGTATAACAGATATCTAACCAAACACATAAATTCCATACATTCACTTACTCTGACATTGTCCTGAAGGCCATCCACCTGGCCAGCCTTCACCTTCTTCAGAATGTTGGTCAGGTCCGCCATCACTGCTCTGCATATGAAGAAATTTATATATATACATATATATATATATATATATATATATATATATATATATATATATATATATATATATATATATCTTTTTATTAATGCAGAACTTGATAATAACAAAAAATCTCAAATATATAACTTCAAAAAAAGTTATGCACAAAAAAAAATCTCAAATATACTAACAACTGGATATAGCAATACACTTACAGATAAAGACATTCAAATGTGCTATATTATATACAAAATAAAAGGAAGGTGTGACAACAGTTTGAATTACAACTCCATATAAATACTACATTCTTTCTATAAATATTTAACTGTAATGAAAAAATATATTGTTTTCCATACTGAAATTTTATCTAAAAATTAGAAAACATCAGTCCACTGATTAACATAATATTTAAATCAGCAGAAAGGTTTTCTTGGCCTTTTCCATAATGATACTGGTACAGAGGCTAAAGCAATCCTGTCTCTACACAACTGGATTGTAGGACTAGACTTTCCATCACAGTTTACATAGGTTTCAAATTAACTTGAATAGCAAACTGCCGATGTAATTATAGGAAAACAGTCCAATCTAGAAAGCCATTGTGGGTTAGTTTGTAACTTTTATGTATCTTATTACATATATTACATGTATGATGTGCTACACTTTTTGATACTGAGAAAATGAACTGCCACATGAAATGAAGATCTGAAAATAACACTGATATCAAATATGGCAGAATGGCAAAAATAACTCTATACCAGCAAAAATATCGACTCGTCTCTCACTCACAAATGCTATTAAACATAAAAGGAGTCATATATCAAATATACTCAATTATCCTACATAGCAATATTTTTAATATCATCAGTAATATAAGTCAACATACAGACTGATATATAGATACAAAAGCACAGAGATATCTCCATAGCTCTAAACATTTCCATTAACTTCGTAAGTGAAAATATACTTAAAGGTCTCGTATTCGAACCAAACCATTTGGATTTCTGTATTTCAATTAACTGAACGAGAAGTAACATATTCCTTTCACACGCTGCCACGTATATTAACGCAAAGTGCAGTTTGGACATTACAAAATATATAAGCTTTATCTTTATTACGTCAACTTGATCACTGATGAAAATATACTGAACCTATTCCTTAAATTCCCAATAGCCATTCAGTCAAGGCCATGGAAAGGCACATTTCTATACAATTATTTCTAATCAATTAAATTTATATGTGGGTGATAAAACATAAATAATATATAAAATATAATAACTGACTTCTCCAACCCGCGACCACACATTATGCCAAAAGCCTCTCCACAATAATTCTTTTATATTTAACAGTTCTCCCAATCATTTCTTCTTTTTCCTAGGAGCTAAATAATCCAGATTTGCTAGCCATGTTTCCTATTACCTATTACCTATTGTTTCCTATTATCATATTACACATACAAAATCATAACTCCAAGAATACGATCAAAACACCCAACCTCCATAACACTATAATTACTCCCTTATACCTCCATTCCCAACACTCTTCCCCCTTCCCACATATTAAAAATTAACACACCTACACTAAAACCAACAAATTCACAGAAAGACCCCCCAAAACCTACGCAAATCAAGCCGAAATCCAAGGCAGCATCACCTCCGCCTCCCCTTCTGGCCATTCAAACACAACACCACTGCCGCTGGGACCTTGGAGGGGGAGACCCACGCGCCGGAATGCAGGAAAGTTAACTCCTCCGTCTGCTTATCTGCTTTAAAAAGGGTTTAAGGTGTTTTAGGCGCTTGTGTGAGTTTTTTTTAGTCTATTCAAATATTTTAAAGTATTTTAGGTATCTGTAGGGAATATTTGAAAGTATTTTATGCGTTCGGATAAAATATCTTTTAAGTGTTTTGAACGTTTGCATAACATATTTCAACGTATTTAAAGATACACGTGCACATTATATGGAAGGGTATATAGAAAACTGAGATTTTATATGCGTTCTGAATACTGTTTTTCAAAATATTTCATTCTTCATAAATCCCTTGCAGTATTTGAATGTCGCAGATCTGTACATAATAATAATATAATTTTACAGAGCAACGAGCATAAAGCGAATTATATATATCTAAAAAAAAAAACATATATGATAGCTTGGAACTGAAAACTCAATAATGATAACAATAACCAAACTATAAAAAAAATTATAAGCTAAGTGCACGTTTTCTTCTAAAAATGTAAGGGGGACTATATAAAAAAACATGTATCTAAGTAATAATAATCTACATTTTCTTAGATGACTATAAATAAGATAGATAGTCACGAACAATCAGTTATATGTAGCTTACTAATTTCATAAATTACCAATGCTATTTATCTGTGACCTTATAGTTTCCACACATGCCTACTTTACTTCGTGCCTACTTTACACATAAACAAATAAACTAACGTAAATGAATAGACATATAAAGAGATAAAAATACAAATAAATAGAACTGATATATATATATATATATATATATATATATATATATATATATATATATATATATATATATATATATATATATATATATAGATAGATAGATAGATAGATAGATAGATAGATAATCATGCACACATACATACACACATATTATTGTAATTGACCTCATGGTATTTGGGTATCCTTATATCATCTACTCAAGTTACGCATTTTCTTCTACAAATCGTGTCGTGTACAGAACAATATTTCGTCTAATCTTTAAGTCATCAATAGAAAGTGATCCCTCCATGGTACTGATGATTTTCACACACCACTAAGCTCAACTCCGTGAAAAAGCAAACAGTTTTACCACAAAAGCAATAACGATAACATTAATACGGTTATAAAATTAGGACAAATCAAGGGAGTGGTATTTATATGAAAGCTCTAAGATTTCATAAACCTGCTTTTGCTGCATAAATCCGCCTGGGAAGATACAGTGATTGTCATCTCCTAGTACCCTGAGAAAAAATACCCACACCGCGCACATGCCTCTGGGAGTATACCTTCTGTATACTTTATAAATCAAAAGATAACTCCACATCACTGAGATGATATATATTGTCATTTCACAATACTTTACACTTTTGCATATATTCACCGTACAAAGATTCCTCAATGAGCAGGTTTTATGTGTTCCTTATTATTTTTTTCTGTCGATTCAGACAGCAAGGGATGGACTACAATTCGCAGCAGTACAGTTGACTGAATGGAAATTATTCACACAGGTGCACGCCCCCAGGTGACAGTCCGATAACCGCTATCTCTGCCAACCTGATGTATTTATGTTCTTACTGATAACATGTATTCACATTTTAAATGATGATCCAGCGTTTGGCGGGGAAATAGATAAGGAAATGCCTGTGCCTGATTACATGCACTTCCTGGCAGATTCCGTGAGTTTGGCAGCGGCCTCGAACGTCTGATTTTTGAACAAGGAGGCACTGCGGAGGCACATCGTTGGAAGTTAGACCTAAAATTAGGCTTGGTGTAATTAAACAGGGTCTGATATTGCAGACTAGATTATTAAGCAGTGCAAATTTATTAAAAGAACTGATTGGAGATTTTGAAATTCCGAGGAAAGGGAACTTGATGGTCCTATAAAATAAATGAATGTCAATATTGAAAACAATTTTAACATAGAAATAACTTGAAAAAAATATAGAATGCATTTACAGAAGTCAACAGCAGGGAAGTTATCAGCACTTTATATCTATGGAAGCCTCCATTAGGGATGTAATATTTCAAATGTCCAATGTCTGCGGCCGATGGGTGAGCAAATCGTTGCAAAAGAGTCAACAACGTCAAAAACGATGTGAATTATAATTAATAAATAAACAACACCCCACTTTTGTCTGCAGTGCAGAATGTTGTTTTATTCTTTCCATAATGTGTCTTTAATAACTTATGTGACAATAATGCTGTGAAGTTTGAGGGATAAAATCAAACCACTGGATTATTCATTTGTTAAATCCTCTCTCTTTCTCTCTCTCTCTCTTTCTTTCTCTCTCTCCCTCCCTCCGTCTCTCTCTTTCTCTCTCTCTCTCTCTCTCTCTCTCTCTGTCTTTATCTCTCCCCCTCTCTCCCTCCCTCCTTCTCTCTCTCTCTCTCTCTCTCTCCTTTTCTTCTCCTTCTTCCTGGTGAAACTACCTGTACATGGGTTTGTACATCACTTCAACATATTCGTCCCTACAAATCCCACCACACATCCCTTGTAAACATGTTCTTTCAAACATCCTTCAGTCATGGGTGGATTATAGACGATTCAGTGATTAGATGCCACATGATTCCCAATACTGAAGCTGTTATGATTAACTCTCTGTGACCACAAGCTAATAATTTATTACACACGAGAGAAAGAGAGAGAGACAGAGAGAGAGAGAGAGAGAGAGAGAGTATGGCTCGGCTCACGAGGAATCCCTAGGGAAGAGGAAAAGGAGCGTTAAATTTTTGAGTGACTGGCTACATGTGGCGTTTGGTAATTCAGTTTGTCATGTAGATGCGTAGGCCTGCCTCTCGGTTACCTTTTCATTTTTAATTCGTTCTCGTGTTGCCGTCCGACTCTCCGCTAGCTTGTCGGCGGTTTTTCTGTTATTGAAATATGTGAAAATGGAAAGCAAATAAGTTAATAGATAATGGTATGTTTACGAAAGAAGGAATCCATATTTTGACGACTTGCATTCAGCTCGTGACATTTCAACCAACTGAACAGTTAAAAGAGGGATATAAGTTACCTAGACGTAATAAAACTGCTCCTCGGCTTCGATAAAATATAACGTATTTTTTTCTTAAACTTGCTGCCTAATTCCCGATCTCCAATTAATCCAGACCTTTGACTTTTTGTCCTTCATTCCCTGCGACATTTAATCTTCAAATCGACAAAAACATAAGCGCCAAATGAGATTTTCAATTAAAAGATAACACCAAATCTGATAGAAATGTCACAACTAGTCAAAGACCATCTCTCAACAACGGGAAAGCTCATGAATCAAACACACAACCGTTTTTTTTTTCGTTTTTTGGAGAATAGGATCGAACATATACTCTTTCCGCTCTGTGTGTGTCCAAGAATCATGCAACAAAATCTCATGTCTCATGATTTAATTCGGATCCGATGGGAATCCAACTGAAAATGTTAACCGTCGCGTCGTTCAAAATATGGCCGGTCGTTCGGATAATTCCAACTGGATACAATTACGCGGCAAATATCTTATTTTTCATTTTGGAGAGTATATTTCTGCCGATCCGAATAACATGGACGATAATGAATTGCGAGTTTATTT